GTCATATTTCTTTGAACAAGTGAACTAATTTTCTTTACCTAATTCTACATGTAAAGTCTATAAATATTATCTTTATAATTACATTACACATTTATAAGTATATATATACACACACAATACTTACAGTTTTATTAATCTGTTAGTGAATATTAAAGAATTAAGAGGAAAATAGCATTGAAGAAAAATGGCTTCCCTTTCTCCTTGATGTTCTCTTTATATAAAATCGAACTATCGATAAAAAATAAATAAGAAGTTTCATCTACTTTTCTTAATGTTTATGTATTATATATGTATTATGTATATATTTTCTTTACATATTTATTATAAATGTTATATATAGTGAGATTATCCTCTTCTCATGTAATCGTATTTTCTTTTCCATCTGTTTTGTTATTTCTCCAAGTTTGGTTTTTAATAAGTTGTTATCCTGTAAGAATAAAATTTTTAATGGGTGAAGTGGTGACACTGTTAACATCTTGGCTACAGATTTGACAATTCGGGTTTGAATTTCGGCGGGAGAAAAAAAATTTTATTTCGAAAAATATCCGAGCGGGATTCGATCCTGCCTCGTTTGAGTGGTTTGATTCAAAAACTTTAAACATAACTCGAATGACAGCAGATCGAGTCCGCTAGAGGAAAACATTTTTTTATATTAATAAATTCTAAATTAATTATAAAAATCAAAAAAAATAATTTTCTTCAACAAAATCAGTATTGGGTTTTGCTAAATAATCTTTATACATTACATTATAAAAATACATTATAAAATATAATGTACGTATTATAAAATACAGTAACATTATATGTGTATGTGCATGTGCATGTGTGTGTGTGTGTGTGTGTGTGTGTGTGGAAATTATATCTTTATACTATTGCAATATTTTTTCTAATGTTATTATTTAAATTATGTACTTATATATTGTACTTATTAACAATACTTATTCTTTCCAAATTACACATAGAAATTGCATACATATATATATACCTTTATATTAAATATATGATAATCAGTACAAAATGGAGGGAGTATCCCCACCATAAGGAATATACAAACAACATCTAGGAGGCGTGTAAAACATAGTTTTGGTACTATATTTTTTAAATTGACTCTAGATAATAATAATTACAAAGAAAACAATTTGTTAAATCAAAAATGGCAAAAAGTGGTAGAGATTTAGCATTATCCATGTTAAGAACTTTACCTCGAGTAGTACTGTCAAATCTTCGACCTAACCCTGGTTCAAAAATAGCTGTAAGAATTTTTTTTTTAATTTAGTACTTATGCATGTATTAGATTCATTAGACATATAGTTAAATCAAATTAAGATCTTTGAATATTGTTATGTTATTATTAAAATTAGATATATGTTGAAAATCAATTAGAAATTATATAACCTCTAATTGTTATATTTTATTAATTTTGAAAAACTTTCATTGAAAATACAGTTTTATATGTAATTAATAGAATTTTAAGATAGTTTCATTTTTATGTTATAAAATTAGTCAAAAAGAGGTAGAGGTCAACACGGAGGAGATAAACACGGCGCAGGAAATAAAGGTTCTGGTCAAAGACAAAATTATATGAGACCTGGATATGAAACTGGAAACAACCCGTTTTATCTTAGATTTCAATACGAACCATATTATAAAGGACATCAGTAAATATAACGTTTCTTATTATAAGAATATTTTAGATTACTTTTATTCTGATTACATATTTAAAGCAATTTGTGCCATGCGTTTATTCATTACAGCTTAAGAAGACAGTATCCACCACTTTCTTTACATCAGCTACAAATGTTTATAGATACAAATAGGATAGATATAAGTAAACCAATTGATCTTGCAACTATAATAAATACAGGATTATATAACTTCCATATTAATTGGAAACATGCTGGAGTTCATTTAACAGATGAGGTAATCAAATTTTTATTTAAGATAGAATTATTACCATTTGATATTAAAAAGCATCTTTTAAGGGCGCAGATTTATTCAAAGCAAAAGTTAACATAGAAGTACAATGGGCAAGTGAACCAGTGATCGCTGCAATTGAAAGAAATGGTGGTGTTATTACTACAGCCTATTATGATACAAATTGCTTGTTTGCTTTAAATGATACCGAACAATTTCTTCGTAGAGGTATAGTTATTCTTGTTTATTTAATTATATCTTGGCAATATAATTAATATATAAAAATCAAACACATTTTTTTGTACTTATATTATTTTAATATGTTTATTAATGATATATTTGTGATTTAGGTGATCCAATACCCCGTAGATTATTACCACCTGCAGATTGCTTAGAATATTATTCAAGTGCTGCATCAAGAGGATATTTGGCAGATCCTGAAAAAATTTCTCAAGAACGTTTAATATTATCACAAAAATATGGTTATATACTTCCAAAAATTGAAGATGATCCTGACTATGAAATGCTAACAGAACGTAAAGACCCACGACAGTTATTTTATGGCCTTGAACCAGGTTGGGTTATAAGTCTTGTAGATAAAACAATTCTCAAACCAAAGGCAGAATATTTGAAAGAATTTTATGCTAGTTAAAATATTGTATGTTTTTAATAAATATAAAAAATGTTTAATCTTATATTAAATTATTTAAAATATAAGATATGAATAAAATAAATATATATGATATTATGGAATACTTTATCAAATTATTTTAAAGCTAATTCTTGCCAAAGTTTATCTTTTTTCATAACATTTATGATCATATCTTGAGAAACAGACCATAATCTACTTGCTAATGCAGAATCTACTGCAAAATTTGAGGGATCACAACGATAACAATTATTAAAGTAAAGTCCTGTTGCTCCTTCTAATTCTGGTGCAGTTGCACAAAAAATTGTTGTGCTTGCTGCTTGTTGCTAAAATAAAAGAGAAAAATAATAGAATTAATATTTTTTATTAAAAATGTTCTTATTTAACAAAAAATTTGAAATGTACCAATGATTTGGTGAAGGGTCTCACTATGGCATATAATATTCGGAAAATCCACGAATAACGAGGTAAAGATGAAGAAACCATATTGCCAGGATGACAACTAAATACACTTACTGCAGGCCATCGTTTAGATAATTCTTGTGCAAATAATATATTACAAAGTTTTGAATCATTGTATGCACCCATTGGCCAATAATGATATCTAGGTGGTGATAAAGTTAAAGGATGAATATCTTCTACATGTTGTATAGAAGAAAATCTATGGAGTAATAATAACTTTTTAAATTATATATTATAAAAATATTTTTTATAAAAAGATTATAATGATTTAATACATTAAAAGTACCTATGCGATTCACTGGAAACAAATATTATTCTTGCATTATGACAACTGCGTATTGGATGCTCCAATAAAAGTGTAAAATAAAAATGTGAAAGATGATTTACTTGGAATGTTGTTTCATAACCATCTTTTGTAAGTTCATATGGAATCGCAAAAACACCAGCATTCAATATTAAAATATGAAGAGTCCTAAAAAAATGTTATATTTGTTAAAATAATATAAAGAAATTTATATATAAACATTTATTTTTCTAGAATTACCTATATTTTTGTTTAAACTTTTCTGCAGCATTACGTACACTTTGTAACAACGTTAAATCTAATTCTAATACTTCACAATTAACATTTTCTTTTTCTTGTCTTATTTTTTTCACTGCCTCTTCACCTGTTTTTAAATTTCTACAAGCAAGTATAACATAACAACCATGTAAAGCTAATGACCTAGCTGTTTCGAAACCTAAAATCAATGAATGTTTTATGTTTCACATATAAATAAAATTAAAATAATAAATAAATAAATAAATAAATAAATAAATATATATATATATATATATCAAATACCTATTCCAGTATTAGCACCAGTGACAAGTGCTAATTTACCACGTAAATCTCTACCATGTAAAACTGAAAGGGCTGTACTACTTCCATCGAACCTTTGCCGTACTGGTTGTGAAATTTCTCTATATTCTGTGGCAAAAGCCAGCCTGGGATCAGTGTAAGTAGTAGTACGATTCATGTGATCGACAAAGAGAACTTTACCATCATCAGATATACATTTCTCCCAACCAGATGGTAATTCTAAGAAAAAGTTATGATACTTTAACTTCATTATTTAATTAGAATAAAAAAATGTAAACATATATACTTGTTTCTATAACAATACCTCCTTCAACAATTTTCTTACGCCCAGTTCTAGGATGGGTCCATTGTGTACCTTTCGTATAGTGACTATAAAATAAAGATCAAACATTTCAAATAAAATAATAAATAAAAAGTAAATAAAAACTTATAAATAAATATATGAAATTAAAAGATTAACTATTATAACTTTATTATAGAGAAATTAACTTAATTATTATCAAATGAACATTTACTTTACGTAATAAACATTCCCATCTACAGTAGCCCTTTCCTCCCATCCAGGAGGTAATTCATCCTCGCTATCGGAATCATTTAGGACATTCACCATGTTTATTTTGCAAATTAAGCTACTTCATTATTATGCTAGGGAAATTTCTAGTTTGGGATGTAAACTTACTAGCCGCCATATTTACTATATGCTATCTGATCAGAAAATATTCGATCATTAATACTGATATTTGGATGAGTCCTGTTATATTGAAGTATAAATTTAACAAAATCAATTTATTATATAATAAATAACAATGAAATTTTCTAAATCAAAGGTTTGAGTGTATTGAAATTTCAATTATATTAATGATTATAAATTAGAATTATGCGAATTAATAACTTACGCGTAAATATGCAGTTGAAGTCATTTGCATATGTCGAACGGTCGAACGTAACAAAATTATTCTATTTTAAATTTCTTTTCTCTAACAGGAAATTTAAGACGCCAATCACGTATTTATTTCTCTCTCCCTTCGAAGAAAGCTTCTCTTGCGCATGTAGATGTATATGCTAAAGTATATGCGCAACTTAGCCTTTTCTTAGAAGAAACATTTGAGTATACGATTGTGATAACTTTATTGACTTACTTTAGTCAAGGATTTTAGGTAATGAATCATTAGGTCACATTAAGATGGAGTTTATATCGTTGATGAATTTTATGTTAAACATTCGATATACAGTTGGGGCTATAAAATCATAAAATGGTAAGTGTCTATTTAATATCAGTGCAGAACTACATGCATTTGTAACTGATAGTAATATTTTTTTCTTAATCTTTATACTCTCTTATTTACATTTGTGATCTAATTATTGTTCTATTCATGTCGCTTAATTTTATTTATATACTACTGTATTATGTAAATTTTCTTGTTATAAATTTTGATATAAATATTTTGAAAGTCAATGACAGATGAACTTATTTTTCATATTAGTTGTTCATCTATTTCTTAATATATTATCTATTACATTCTTATTATTTCTATCTTTGTATTACTTATTTATTGATATTTATTTAAAATACTGTTGTTACAGGGTGCAAACATATCACAATTAGAAAGAGATATCGGCTCTGATCAGTTTCCACCAAATGAACATTATTTTGGTTTAGTCAATGTAAGTAAAAGTAAATGTAATAATCAAACATTGTTTCCAATATATTTGTTATTATCAATTAATTATAAATTATTTCTTTCTTTTTTTCTAGTTTGGTAATACTTGTTACAGCAATTCAGTATTGCAAGCCCTATATTTCTGTAGGCCATTTAGAGAGAAAGTATTAGAATACAAAGCTAGAAACAAGAGAACCAAGGAAACATTATTAACATGTTTAGCTGATTTGTTTCATAATATTGCTACACAAAAGAAAAAAGTTGGTTCCATTGCTCCTAAAAAGTTTATTGCTAGATTAAGAAAAGAAAAAGGTTTGTTATATTTTTCTTTTGATTTGATTTAATTAATTTAATTTGCTTTATTAAAGGTAATCTTACCTTTACAGAGGAATTTGATAATTATATGCAACAAGATGCACACGAGTTTTTAAACTTTCTTATTAATCATATAAATGAAATTATTCTGGGTAAGTACTTTAATTGTAAGTTTCTTCTTTTTGTTTATGTAATATATTTGTTATTTGTTATTTTAGCAGAAAGAAGTCAAACCAAACAGACAGGTGGAAAAGGTGCAGGTGATGCTGGGTCTCCACCAGAACCAACATGGGTCCATGAGATATTTCAAGGAATATTGACTTCGGAAACACGCTGCCTTAATTGTGAGACTGTTTCTAGCAAAGATGAGGATTTTTTTGATCTGCAAGTTGATGTAGACCAAAACACCTCAATAACATACTGCCTGCGTTGTTTCTCTAATACTGAAACTCTTTGTAGTGATAATAAATTTAAATGTGATCATTGTAGTAGCTATCAAGAAGCTCAGGTATACTTTTATCTTATTTTTCATTCAAGTTTTATATAAAATTAGATAATATCGATTAAAATTAATAAGCGAAATTAATATATTATCTGTTATATTGTATTTTAGAAACGAATGAGAGTTAAGAAACTTCCAATGATCTTAGCATTACATTTAAAAAGATTTAAATACGTGGAACAATATAATCGACACATCAAAGTATCTCACAGGGTAGTTTTTCCATTGGAATTGCGGCTTTTTAATACTGTAAATATTATGAAGAATTTGTTGTGCATATTATTTGATTTTTTCTTTTTTGTAAATATTTATAAAAACAAAATTTTTAATTGCAGAGTGATGATGCTGTCAACCCTGATCGCTTGTATGATTTAGTTGCAGTTGTGATACATTGCGGAAGTGGCCCTAACAGAGGTCACTATATTTCTATAGTAAAGAGTCATGGATTTTGGTTGCTTTTCGACGATGACATGGTTGATGTAAGATATATATTTATACAAAAATTATATATTTTAAATACCCTTAGAAAATATATTCTCGTAAGAAATAAAGTATATACATTTATTATTTTAGCTATGAATATATTTAATTTAACTTAATCATATTTTTTAGAAAATTGATGCATCAACTATAGAGGATTTCTATGGGCTCACCTCAGATATACAGAAGAGTTCAGAAACTGGATATATTTTGTTTTATCAATCGAGAGATTGTAGTTAAAAACCATTCAACATAACAAAAGAAGTTATGTTAAGTATAGTCATTATCATTTAAAATTAATGTAATTCTCTAAATTAATTTCTACACATTTTAACTGTACAGTTGAGATTTTATTTCTAAAAATTAATATGTATATGAATTTTTTTTCTTTTTTATTAAAAAAATGCCAATGCTAAACTATTAATCTGGGAATTGGTTTCCTACGTAAAAAAGCAATTGTTTATTATTTGTTATATGAATGTTATTATACTATGTTATCTGAAAAGAAGTATTATCTAATCTTATATAAGATATAAGTGAGAATTAAAGAACTTTATGACTATAAATATTAATTCTTATTAATTAAATTCCTGATTTATATATCTAAGGGCATTAAGCAATAAAGATGATTTATATTTTAAAACATATTTATTGCAGCTTTAAGCAATAAATTCATAAGGAATAGGTGCAAGTAATATAGGTGCCTCACGTCCTGATACAATATGAGCTTTAGATGGTTCAGCAGGCTGTCTTTTAAGTTGAACTTGAACTTTATTTTCTTTTGCTTCTTTCCTAAGCCTTTCATTTTCTTTTACGCGTTTTAAGAAATCTTCTCTGCACTTTGAGTGAGTAAGATGTTCAATGCGCACATTAATACGTTTTGCAATGATGCGTCCACGCACCCTTTTGTTAACAATAACTCCAAGAGCATGAGGTGTGACATTAAATACACGTCCAGTTTTCCCATGATAAACCTTATATGGCATTCCTTTTTGAACAGCTCCATTGCCCTTGATGTCAACTATGTCACCAACTTTGTACACTTTCATGTACGTGGACAGAGGAATAGTTCCATGTTTGCGGAATTTTCGGGAAAACAAATCCCTTGTACCACGACGATAACCTTTGGAGTTGGTCATATTTTAATACTGAAAAAAAATATCTCATATAAATAGATTCAATTGAACAAGACAATATCTTATTATGAAGTAAAGAAAACAGCTGTGTTATATACAACATAGCATTTTTCATATGACCAAATCCTTCTTTCATACGAAGCAACATAAAAAATTAAAAGAATTGATTGATATGTAAAAAACAAAACGGTGAAATTATTAAATTAAAAGTTCTTCTAGAATTTTCGCTATAGGTACATCAAGTTTCGTCAAAATACACGTGGTCACTTTCGACATTATCTGAATTTCAATATTTCTAATAAAAATACGTACGATATAATACGCAAAGGCAAAGATATTTTACATTTTGTATAAATTCTATCAGTACATTGATATAACTAGAATATTAAACGATTATTTTCTAATACTAACCTCTATGAACAAAAATGATAGCGTAGCTCGTCGGAAAAGAAAGAACCTCGCTGAACTTTTATTCTAAGATGGCATATACATTGCGTCTAATATTTTCTCTGTCAATGGCACTTTCAACCAGTGAATTTGATTGGCTAAAAGTAAAGCACTTCCTTTCTGATCAATCGCAACTCTCGAATTATATCGTTCCCGATCGTTAATAAAAGTGGATTGGTTAAGACATGTAGAGTTTTCTTTTTGACCAATCATAACTCTTAAATTATTGGAGGCTAAATTGAAAACAATAAAAATATTTATACAATGCTAACAATACAAAAATGCTAAAAATTTCATATTATTTCGTATATATTTATTTAAAAGTTTGGCCACCTTGTATGTCAGTTCGCACCATGTATAAATTTTCACGTGGTAGTTCTCTCATGGTACATAATTTCTTCAAAATACTTTATAATATTGTATAATAATTAATATTTAACAATGAATTTCAAAAATGATTTTGATGTTTTCGTGGGTGGTAAATCAGGATTTTTTAAAGGTTAACATGCTTATAAAGGCATGCATGTCTTATAATCAAATAAAAATTTATTTTTTTCAAGTAAATAATTTTTAAATATAAAATAAATTAATTATAGGAATCAAAATTGGACAAAAAGAATGTGTACAAAAGAATTTAAAGAGTTTTATATCGATTGGGTATAATGATGAGATTACCACAGCAAGTTGGGGTGATGACGAAGAACGAGAAATACTCATAGCTTATGGTACAAAGGAAACAAGAAGGTTTTATTTATATTATATAGTTATGATCAAAGATTATTCCATTTGTAACTGATATCAAACATATTCAACATTTTATAGCGTCAGCATTTATGATACTGAAGATATGTCATTTACAAATACATTTGTTTGCGATATTGGTCAAGGAAGTATAAATGGCATATCACGTTATGATGGGTAAATCATTATGATTATTTTAGTACATATTATGCTACTATTTTTTATAAATACAAACTTTTAATTATTGAATAAACATTAAACACCTATTAGGGCAATTTTGACTGCAGTTCATTCTGGCGAGATAAAATTATGGAAATTTAATGATCAAGACCAAGTTATATTAAATGCTGGTAGTAATTTATATAGAATGTGTCATTCTAATGTAAACAAGAAAATAATAGCTACTGGTGGCAAAGAAAATGGATTAAAATTGTTTGATTTAGAGAAGCAAAAACAAATTTTTAGTGAAAAGAATATACCACATGATTTTTTAAATTTAAGAGTACCAATTTGGATTTCAGATATAGCTTTTCTTCAAGACTCACATAAAATAGTTACTGTTAGCAGATTCGGATATGTATGACTTTTATTTTCTAAGAGTATTTTTCATTCCAAATTAAATATTTAAATAAATTTTTTAATTATTTTAGGTACGTTTGTACGATACTAATGTACAAAGAAGACCGATGATAAATATAGAAATAAAAGATGAACCCCTGACTGCTGTGACTGTACCTTGTAAGGAAATGTAAGAATTTTTTTCACACATTCATATCATAAAAATATTATAATAGCATAATATAAATCTTATTATAGGCAAGTTATGGTAGGTTCAGGTAAAGGTATGATGAAACTGATTGATTTACGTAAACCTGGAAAAATATTACATACATATAAGGGTCTGGTTGGTAGCATAACTGGATTAGCTTCTAGTAAAATGGGACCATATGTAGTTAGCACTTCTTTAGATAGACATTTAAGAGTTCATAATATTAATACAAGAGAAATGATCAAAAAGGTAATTTCATAAATAAATAAATATTATGCATACATATATTACTGTATATTAAATATTATTTTGTTTCTTTTTCACGTTTATGTAGGTTTATCTAACTTCAAAATTAACGTGTTTAGTATTGAGATCAACATTCTCTATAGAAACACAGATTGATAATCCTGAAAAAGTTCCAGATAACAATAGTATTAGTATTAGTAATAATAATGATAATGAAGTTATGTATATAGATAATAAATTAAAGGATACAAATGATGATGCAGAATATGAAGAGTTATTTGATAAAATGGAAGTTATAACATCGAAACATAAAAAAACAAATTTGTGTTATAAAAGAAAGAAATGTACTAAAAGTGCTTCTTTGATTGATCATTCTGTATGTAATTTTCTATTAATATATATGCTATTATGTTTAACACTATTATTTAAACAAATGTTTCTGAAAGTTCTTATATATTTTACTTTTTAATATCTTTTTATAGGAAGAATCAAAAACATCTATGATGCTGGAACCTTCAAATATTATTGTAAAAAGTAAGAAAATTAAGAAAAGAAAAAAGTTAATATCCAATAATTAGTCATAAATATAGTAACAAATAGTGTACATATAAAAATCAATGAACCTAAATGCACTTTCATACATTATACATACATTTAATTTTTCTTTATACCTTCTTACGAGGATTGGAAATATAGATCAGAATAAAATAAACGATATATTATATATATATCATAGTGTATTCTATCGCTGAGCACTTTCTGCATTTATAAGTTACATATGTGAGAGAGCCAAGGATCATGCGCTAATCACTTTGCTCAGGGTACATAATATTAAGATGCGATCACGTGAACTAACTACAACACAAGTTTGTGTATCATACAATTCATTATTAATACCTCAATAAATTATATTTTGGTTTTCGCAATGCAAGAACTGCCACGTCCAAAATCTTTATCTTTCTTCCTTTTTAAGTTTTTTGCCGAATTCTCTCTAATTTCTCTTATAAATTGTTGCTTCGTTCGTTGAAGTAAATAACGAATTAAAAAATTGTTATATAATATGCACGCGAATCAAACTGATTTTATTTTATAGAAGCTGAAGGAAAGCGAACGTGACTGCTTGCAAATTTGCAGTATATATTTTGTACTAAAGAGAGTAAGATTAACTACGGCACGTTAAACCTATGCGGATGTACAGTTTGTTTCTCAATGTACAAAAACCGTCTGTTTCATAGCATTTGTCATAATACTACTATTGTGACAATATCTCAATGACATATCTCAATTTCCTTTTTTTTTAATCATTAATGGAATATTTAATCTTACACAGATAAACATATACAGGAATAATTTTACTAAATTATAGGCACTGGCTCTGCACTATCAAGTAGCGACTTTTACCTTTACTTTTATAGATAAAAAGAGGAACGTTAGTGCCAAAAATAGAAATGAATATTAACAAACAGGCCATTTATGTACATGATTTTTTTAGTGTTTTAAGTATGTACAAATTTTTTTCAATAGAAGGCTCTACATACAATTACTACTTAGCTTCTTTTATTTTTTTTTTATATATAGATTAATTGAAATAAAAATTATTTTTTTTTTCAAAAGAATACATTTGTTTTCATAAAAGTAATTGTTAACAAGTTCTCTTGGTATATTCTAGTACATTTAACAAATTTCTTTTTTATGCATCGTTAGCATCTATAATATGTGCCTAGAATTTATTCAACAAGATCTACATACATATTGTTTCAAGAGAATTCTAATAGGATTTTATTTAGATGCTATTCATTTTCTTGGAGGTAAATGTTAAGGAGATAATTGGTTTAAATATTTTATAGAATTATGTATTTGGGTCATTTTCGATAAAGAATAATTTAGAATAGAAAATATATTACACAAGCAAAACATTTTGTCAAAAAGCCAAAACAATATAATAATAAGAAAACTTGAATTACTTTTATATGTCATACATTTCCTATTTAGATATATAGTGTAAAATGTACCATGAAAGAAAAGAAATTCTTAAAAATTATTTCAGGTATAATGTATGATAAGCATGATCAATGTATATGCGAAATAAAAAAAATCATTGGTTAAACATCCTTTCAAAATAATGTTTACGCATCTATACTCTTATCATATACTTTTGTTTTTTATATTAAAAAAAATATAAGCACATAAAGATTGCTATATATATATATATACATATATATATACATATATATATATATACATATACATATATATATGTATATATTTACACATATATAATAATAATAATAATAATAATAATAATAATAATAATAATAATAATAATAATAATAATAATAATAATAAAAGAAATTTCCTATTAATTTATAAAATACATACAAGGTAATCTGAAGAAAGCATTAGAGCAGTGAAAATACAAAGATAATAATTTATAATGTATACTTTTAATACAGTTATAAGAGAATGATTTTAAGTGTGAGTACTACACTCGTGTTTTATCTATCTCCGTTTTAAATTTATATATTTGCCTGTGACTCATTCTTTGCAAATATGTTTCATAACGAACATGAAGCCTCTCTTTCCTTTATTTCTTTTATAATTTATTTTCTTTTCCTTTATAATTCACTTTCATTTATCATCAATTTTATCATTACACATTCATTGGCAATTTTGACTAATACAAAAAATAATCAACAAAATCAATTTCCCTCTATTTTTATGATAGCATTATGTATTGTTACAATGTGTTGCTATTGCTTAATTATTTGAAAGATTGTTCATATATTATATGAAATTGTTAACTTTAATGTAATATCAATTAATGATAGCAGTAATAAGTGTCTCAAAAGCGAGTGCCCATGTTCGTTGAATATTATTAATATTCTTATCGATATTATTTTGCTTCTGGCATATTATAGAAGCTTAATAAAATAATATATATATATATATATATATATATATATATATATATATATATATATAAAATCGGAATATTTCTTTTCTTCCTGCAAAAGAATATAATTTTAAAGAAAGCGAAATAAAGAATAGATGTAATTAATGGCTTATTTCACTACTCGTTTTATCACAATGATTGTAAAACATCCCTAGTAATGACTTTTTAAAAGGGCACGAAGAATTCATATCCTGAGCGAACAATGGCCCATTAACCATTCTTTAGTGAGCAGCTCAAACGTTAACCGCCATGTACAGAGCGATCACGTTAGAAAATCTAATCTTAAACATTTTTATACATTACAGAGCATGTCTCACCGTATTTTCACACATCTAGTGATAGGTCCACATAGGTCGTGATTCTTGGCTGGTGTTCTTCTTCCGTTTAAACTTACAAATTTTAACCACAAAGACAACAATGATCAATATTGTATACTCACGAACTAAAAAACATGAGCGCTAATTAGATTACTCTATATAACATTATTTTCTCTGCCTCTCTTCCTTCCCACTCTCTCTCACTCTTTCTATGTGATAAATTTATATGATTCAACTTCCCCTCAATTTTTCCTTGTCATGATGCAATTACGATGATCTACAAGTTAAGCAATAGTATCTATACTTCACACAATTTCACTGTAAAAGTGAAACATTAAATGTTTCATTCTCCACCAGATACGGTCACTTCTCGCCAAGATGTTTCTTGAGATGATTTAACAATAGTTGATGAAGATTCCGAAATATCTAAAGCTGCTGGACTGGAAGGTGGTGTAGGTGTTGAGGGCACGTCTCTCGAGTTATTATTACCTGTTTCATTTTGTTCAGTTTCAGGTTCACCATCAACGTTTGTTGTAGTTTCAACCTGAGAATTTGTAACTTTGGATGTAACTGACTCTTGTGTTCTTAACGATGAACCATTTTTAGCATTAATGCTATCCTCGCCTATATATCAATATCATTGATTGTTCATGAACATTTATAATTATAAGTAAATAACTAATTATGTTGACACCAATTTTCAAATAGAAATAAAATATTTGGTAATAAAACAAATGAAAAAAACTTCACTTACCACACGGCCTAAGAACCAAATAATACAACAGGTCAGATAGAGAAATTATACCAATTACTTTGTCGTCCTCATCTATCACTACAAGTCTATGGACCTAAAAAGTATGAAATAATTTGATCAAAAATTGCACTTTTTTTTTTATATAATTATTCCTCTAAATCTTTTCTAGATACCTCTGCTCTTACAATTCTTTCCATAACAGTAAATAATGTCTCATCTAATTTACAACTTTGAACACCTTCAAACCATTCGTTCCTGTGTTCATTAGCAGCTCGCAACGATACGTCTAAATTATTGTATGTCTTTTCAGCTGCTAAATTCTACATAGAAAAAAAAATAAAAAGAATAAATAAATTGTGACCATAAAGGGAAGTAATTAAAAATAAATTAATACAAGAAATGACTTACGATAACATCGAACTTGGAATAAATATTAACTAGTTTTCCTTCCGCATCGATAACTGGTAATGCAGAGACCCTCCTTTCAACAAATTTTTTGAGAGCTAAAATTATGCTAGTTTCTTCCGTTGCTGTTTCTATATCATCAAAAGTTCCTATCCTAAGTTCTCTAAGCGTTTTATTAGTAAAGGATGGTTTTGGTAATTCATGAATCTGCATTTTAAAAATTAATTAATAAATTAAATTTCATTATCATTTAGGAAATTAAATATATAAAATTACATTATCAAAACTTACATAAAGGAACAAAAACCTTAATATTCGTTTGTGTGTTAAAATATAAAGGACATTGCCAGTATCAGGATCAATTACTGGCAAACGATGAATCCTATTTTGTATTAAAGTTCTTATAGCTTCATACAAAGATGCATCAGGACCAATGCTCACTAATGGATGAACTTGATCTTTTAATACTTCTGAAATAATAAATATTTAGTTATAATTTAAATAATATTACAAATATACTCAAACAAAGATATTTACTTCTCCAAGTATCTAATTCATGTTCCTCCAATTCGTCCATTGTAACAGACGGACTCGTATAATACATTTGAAGAATTTTTATAAAATCTGTTATGGTCAACATGCCAACGAATTCTTGCCTTGCACTATCCCATAAAGGTGCAGCTCTTACTCCTTAAAAATAATCAAAGAAAAATTCAAAATCCATTGTATAAACATTATCGTTTCAAATACTCACCATTATATACAAGAGCAAAGAAGGCTTTCTTCACAAGAAGATGTGTGTCAAATACAACTAATTTTGCACTGGTCGGTATCAGATCGTAACACTTGTGAAATTTGAAAAATTTAACAAATATCTGCGACTCGTCTTCTTCTAAAAATTATGAACAAAAAAAAAACATGGAGGTTTTTAAAAAATTTTCATTGATTAGTTCAAAAACTCATGTAATATCGCAAAGAATCAAGGATTGCTCAAAGGAATCAAATATCACCATACATCATCAGAGATAGATTCTTGATGATCGCACCTTTGGAAAGGATCCAAGCAAGTTCATCTTCGAGGGGTGGGTTTTCAAGTTCAAATTCTTTGATAAGGTCTTTAGAATAAACAGGATCATCTTCCTGACTCCACCAACTGGATGCAACGTGTCTGAGTGCGGCACGGATGCTTTCAGAATTGGAATAGTAATGTAAAGCTAACATTATTATTATCTATTGCCATCATTTGTACGATCAAATGGATAATAACACACAAAATCACATAAATTCCAAAGAAAACTTAAAACTCGTTGATGAACAGTTTGAATGATTAGCAATGGTAGTAGCTGATCGAAGTTTCTTTTCTTCAATCGAAGCACGTCATTCAATATGAATCGCATTATCGAAGAAGCCGGAAGACGTTTCCGGTGATATTTTGATGATAATAAAGATTCATTCAAACGAATGCTGATGTTGTTGATTACGAATTAAAGATCAACATATTAAGAGACAAACGAAACGTTCTTTCACATCTACGCGTCAGTATCAATCACTAAATAGATCTATTCTTAAATCGAGTTGCATTCTAATGTTGAGGAATATAGTTGTTGCAGGTAGAAGCACACGTCAAGTCCTAACAACACCAACAGCCGATACCGCTAATCGTTTGCTCTGGCCTTTATAATTCTCCTTCCAATTCGCAAAGTTTATCTTTAAACTCTCCCACCATTTTCACCTTCTGCTTTACTCTATACACTTGCGATATATTGCGGTATATATACATTTACGATTGATTTTCGACGATAATATTTACGAACATTGTAAGAAAAATAAAAACTATGTTATTTTATTCAAATAAAAATATCAATACAAAAAAATGTAGACTGTGAAAAGACATCAAATTAAGAAAAAAATAAAGAGAAAAAA